ACTTCCCAGTGGCTTTTAAGTCTTCAAGAGCTTCCCTTCTTGGTGGCCTCTCCATTTTCCCCAAATAGCACCTGGGCTTCATTGCCGTCATGAAGGTCTTTTCTGCTTTCTGGCTCATTGGCTACATGGAAGACATGAGTTAGGAGGAAGCAAGGTGGAGGGTAGTTTTTATGGTTGGCGAGTGATGCTGATTTTATTACGTGTAGTGTAATATACTGTTTATTTAAGCATACAGAAATCTTTAGAGGCATGTAATTTGTAGTTTATTAAATACCATGTTGTGGTCATTGGGGGAAAAGGCCTTTGTTGGCAGCAGTAACTTCTATTATAACAAATGTCCTGTAAGAAGATCTCGTTCCGTTTTCATAATTTGACGTCCATTGTACCCTGTCCCTGTAGTGTAGGGTTTGCTTGTACAGATAAGCTCTTTGGTTTTCCCTTAAACTATGTAATAAGTAACACCTAGATTTCTTTTCCTTTAGCTAGTGAGAACATTCGTATCCTATTTTACATTCTGTAATATCATCAAAGTAGATTTTATCTCCTACTTGGCAGCAGAATTACTTCTATTCTAGTCCATTGCTGTCCTATATATAGTGCATCAGCAAAACCCCCATTTTCAGGTGTTCTTTTCACTTTCTTTTTTATTGGAAGAAGCTGTGGTTCTCAGGATTAAGACTATCCAGTCACTTCCTGAGCAGAATGATGCTGTTGCTGTAGTTTTTCTTTCCGTTTCAAGCACTTTGGTTTCTTTCCCCCTTACCATCTGACGTGGGCAGCCTTGCACTCTCACAGGTGGCTGAGATACGTTGCATACTGTTTCACAGTTTGAAAGGTTACTTTCCTAGGACTTAGGAAAGATCCTCTTGTTCATTACATGTGGAATGTCTATGGGGAGAGTGTTACTTTTCAGGAATTGTTTTCAGATTGTCCATTGTTTTTTACAGACTAAGAAAGAGACATCCCCAATAAGCATATTTTGATGTGCCTACATCAGGGATGAGGAATAATGAAGTTTAAAAAAGGGTCTACACCCCACTAGCAATGCACACCTCACTACCCAAATCATGGTTTCTAATTCCATTCTCCAGTGAAAAGAATTAGGGCTCCTTGGAGAAATGGATGTTTCTTAGGGCGGGGCCAGGGAATATCCAGGTAAACCTGTAATGTCAGTAAGGAGGTGCTCAAAAATCAAAAAGATGAGATGGCAGAGCAGTGGAGGCTAACTGAAAGAGCCCATAGACCAACACTGGGGCAATTTGAACAATAACATAAGTAGTGTCATACACCAAATATAAAACAAATATCCGTGAGTCCATACTGATTTGAGTCCATACTGATTTCAGTAAAAAGGGAGGAGAGACAAATCTCCCATATATAAGAATTTCAGTAATTTACATAGATACTCTACCCTCAAGGAAGTGGAACTAATTCCCTGCTCTTTAAGTGTGGGCTTGAACATAGGGACTTCCTCCTAAAACTACAGACAGACAGGGAGGAAAACAAGAGTAACTTTACAGTGGGGAAGCTTGACCAGCACTGCACCAGCCAGGTGATCAAGGTCAACATCAACAGTGGTAAGTCATGTCGGCATTACATACCCTTGATAATGATGTGATGAGAAGGGCACTTGACCTCTGTGGTCTTTCTTCCCAGAACCTCAATCTAACCATTTGGTAAACATCAGACAAATCCCAATTGAGGGACAGTCTGTTTATAAAATACCTGATCAATACACCTCAAAATTGACAGGGTTGTCAAAACAAGGACAATTGAAGAACTGTCTCAGCCAAGAAGTACCCAAGGAGACAACTAAATATAGTGTGGTATTCTAAATGGGATCCTGGGACAGGAAAAGGACATTAGGTAAAAACCTCAGGAAATACAAATGAAATATGGACCTGAGTTGAGTAATATATCAGTATCAGTTTATTAGTTGTGACAAATGTACCCTATATTAACATATAAGATGTTAATAATGGGAGAATCTGAGTGTGGGGTATATAGGAACTCTCTCTATTCTTGTTGCTGTCACTTTTCTGTAAGCCTAAAACTAGTCTAAAATTAAAAACATTTTACAAAAAGCTACTGGAGTTAGACGAGAACATCTAGTCATAGAAGGTAAAGGGAGCGAGCAAACCTTTCCGTCTGATCCTGAAGCGACTCTAATATTTAGAAGGTTAAGTATGGGAGGAAAACCTGGCAAATGATATTGGAAAGTGGGAGGAAAATTGGTATACGATGTCACTGAAGTTAAGACAAAGCATTTCAACGAGAAGGAGAGGTCAGCTCTGTCCGATGTTGTTCCAAGGTCAAGTAAGATGAGGAGTAGTGGTAATTGCAGCCAGCAACTCAGAGACCCTGCTGACCATAGAGGTCAAGTCAGTATGGGTGGAGTGGTGGTGAGGGAGCCAGGTGAGTGAAGCTTAAAGAGGAAATTGTATCTAGATTGTATGAATTTTTACAAAGACAGTGTTTCTGTGTATGACCTGAGTAAAAAAAAAAAACAAAAAAACGTGTCTGCGTTTAGTTTTCTCATACTTTTTTTTTTCTTTTTTTAATCCTCACCCGAGGACATTTTCCCATTTTTTTTTGTTCAGGTAGAGTGGGAGGGAGAGAGAGGAACAGAGAGAGAGAGAAACATCGATGTGAAAGGAACACATCGAGTGGCTGCCACCCACACGACCGACCAGGGCCGGGGACAAACTGCAACCGAGGTACGCGCCCTTAGTGGGAACTGAACCCGGGTCTCTCAGGACCGCAGGTCGACGCTCTAACCGCTGAGCCAAACCTTCCAGGGCCATTTTTTTTTCTTTAGCAAAAATATATCAGAGAAAATTTGGGGGCCATCAGAAGGGTATAAAGAAGCAGAAATAAATCATCCAGAATCATTTTATCCAAAGGTGGTGTTAATATTTTACTGTTTTCAAGTGGTCCCTCTCCCTACCCCTATCTCTTGCAATTTCCCCAATTTCCCTTTAGGTAGTTGGTTTTATAGGAATTATACTTGTATACATTTTTATATCTTGCTTCATTTTGCTTAGTGGGATTTTTTTGTTTTGTTTTTGTGGTCATAGATTGCTTTTAATTATCTTCTAAATTAGCAGTCTTGAGCTTGTAGACAATGAAGTCTTACGGTTTTTAGTTCAGTTAATGCAGATTTAGGAAGGCAGTAGGGAGTCTTTGAAGATTCCTGATTGGCAGTTGAACTTAATAATAATTAACCATGTAAATGCTAGAAACTAGGCTAGATCTTATTTTTGTTATTATGAATTGAACTCTCTGAGCTTCTCTACCTGGGGATAAGGATCCACTTTTATAGCCTTCCTCTTAAATTTCATCACCTTCATAAGAAATAGACTTAGGAGTGAATTCCGCAAAGCTGTTCGAAGAAAACCTCTTCTTCCCTCTCCCAGCTGAACCGAGTCCTTATCATACAAATAAACATCACAGTCAATGGCTTAGCTCCCAAAACCTTGTACTTGACCCCAGGCCTCCGTTTTGTAAATGTGAACCAAATGTCCTCAATCAGACATGGAAACATTTCCAATAGGAAGCAGCACTGATAGTCAAACCAAGACATAAAACACGAGTGGTGGAGGGCGTACAAATTCTGGGAAAGGACGCCCTGGCTGGGTTGGCTCGGTGGTTAGAGCGTCAGCCTGCCGTCAAGAGACCTTTCAGTTCCCGCTAAGGGCATGTACCTTGGTTGAGGTTTGTCCCCGGCCCTGGTTGGGTCGTTCAGGTGGCAGCCACTCGATGTGTCCCTTTCACGTCTGTGTTTCTCTTTCTCTCCCTCCCACTCCATCTGAACAAAAACTGAAAAAATGTCCTCGGGTGAGGATAAAAAAAAATTCTGGGAAAGGACGCCTGAAGGTAGGCTTAGGGGCTATAGGTCTCAGCCATGGAAGCCCCAAGACAATATGGGAAAGCTTCTGAAACAGCTGCTTGTTCTTAGTAATTCAGAAAAGAGGTAAGCGGAGTTCTTGTTGCTTGGCATCCAACAGCTGAACTTAGTTTAGGTACACAGTGATTGACAATAGACACTTCTACCAAACTCCCCAGATTCCTCCTTTGTTCTCATTGTACTGCATTCACATGTACGGAACTTGCCCTGTGCTAGATGCCCTGGGAGATGCTGGGAACGCAGCGATGTAAAGATAGCCATGTTCATGCTATCTTAAATAAGGGCCGCTCTGGACCGCTGGACCAGCAGCACCCAGCTAGAAGAGGCTGCACGTGGACTGTTTGAAAAATACGACTGTTAGGACCTCAGCCCAGACCTGTCAAATAAATAAGGGGAATCCAGGCATGTGTGTGTCTGCAACACTTTGGAGATCATTCTCAGGCCCTAGATGAAGACTGTAGGATGCTGTAATGCACCAGGGCTTCTTTCTTCCTTAAATATCCGTTTCTTTGGGGAAAATTGGCACATAAAGGACTTTTGTTTTCTTCATTGACTATCCTGAAGTTGTGTAGTTCTGTGGTGATTTTTGTTTGTCTTATGGCTGCATTGTATGCACACACACGGTGGTTTCGTCACATTATTTCTCCTGGCGGGGCTTGACTTTGTTTTTTTAAACTGGGATAAGAACACTTAACGTGAAATCTACCCTTTTAACATAATTTTTTTTTTTGTCCTCACCCGAGGACATTTTTCCATTTTTGTTCAGATAGAGTGGGAGGGAGAGATAGGAAGAGAGAGAGAGAGAAACATCAACATGAAAGGGACACATGAAGTGGCCACCTCCTGCATGACCCCAACCAGGGCCGGGGACAAATCGCAACTGAGGTTCGTGCCCTTGACCAGAATCGAAACTGCAAGTCATTGGTGCGCAGGCCAACGCTCTAACCGCTGAGCCAAACCGTCCAGGGCACAAATTTTTAAGTGTATTATACGCAGTGAGTATAGCAGATCTCTAAAACTTAATTCTTGTATAACTGAAACTTTTGCCCATGGAACAATTTCCTGTCTCTTCTTAACCCTGGCCCCTGGCAGCTAATTACCTTTCTACTCTCTGCTGCTAGGAGTTTGGCTTAGATACCTTATATATTTATTTGTCCTTCTGTGACTGGCTTATATGAGCATAATGTCTTTAAGGTTCATTCAAGTTCTCTCTCTCTCTCTTTTTTTTTTTTATCCTTACCCGAGGACATTTTTCCATTTTTTGTACAGACAGAGTGGGAGGGAGAGAGAGGTAGAGAGAGAGAGGGAAACATCGATGTGAAAGGGACACATCGAGTGGCTGCCACCCGCCCGACCAACCAGGGCCGGGGACAAACTGCAACCGAGGCACGTGCCCTTAGCGGGAACCGAACCCGGGTCTCTCCGGACCGCAGGTGGACGCTCTAACCGCTGAGCCAAACCGGCCAGGGCTCTTTTTTTTTTTTTTTTTGGTATATGCCCCTAGCGGGAACTGAACCCAGGACTCTCTGGTACGCAGGCCAACGCTCCAACTGCTGATCCAAACCAGCCAGGGCCATTCATGTTCTCTTTAAAAAGAATTTTCCTTTCAAAGGCTGAATAATATTTCATTGTGTGTATGTACCACATTTTCTTTTCTTTTTTTTTTTTTTATCCTCACCCGAGGACATTTTCCATTTTTTTGTTCAGGTAGAGTGGGAGGGAGAGAGAGAGAGAGAAACATCGATGTGAAAGGAACACATCGAGTGGCTGCCACCCACACAACCGACCAGGGCCGGGGACAAACTGCAACCTAGGTACGCGCCCTTAGCGGGAACCGAACCCGGGTCTCTCAGGACCACAGGCCGACGCTCTAACCGCTGAGCCAAACCGGCCAGGGCTACCACATTTTCTTCATTCACTCATCTGTTGATGGACATTTAGGTTGTTTCTCTGTCTTAGCTATTGTGGGTAATGTTACAGGGAGCAAGGGGACACAAGTTTCTTTTCATTACCTGACTTCAGTCCTTTGCATAAATACCCAGATGTAGGATTGCTGGGTCATATGGTAGTGCTATTTTTAATTTTTTTGAGGAACCGCCATACTGTTTTCCACAGTGGCTACAATAATTTACATTCTGTCAACAGGGCACAACGGTTCTAATTTCTCTAATCCCTTGCCAACACTTATCTTTCTTTTTTTTTATTTATAATAGTCACCCTAAAGATGTAAGATGATATCTTATTGTGGTTTTGATTTGCATTTCCCTGATGATTAGTGTTGTTGAACATCTTTGTACATGCCTGTTGGTCATTTGTAAGTTATCTTTGGAGAAATGTCTGAGTCCTTTGCCTGTCTTTTAATTGGGTTATTTATTTGCTGTCGAGTTGTAGGAATTCCTTATATGTTTTGGATACTAATCCCGTATCTGATACCTGGTTTGTAAATGTTTTCTCCCATTCCATAGGAATGTGTCTTTTGCTAAGCAGAAGCTTTTTGGTTTGATGTCTATTTTTTGCTTTTGTGGCTATGCTTTTGGTGTCATAACTGAAAAATCACTGCCAAGAACAATGTCAGGAAGCTTTTTCCTGTGTTCGCCTCTAGGAGTTTAACAGTTGAGGTGTTATAGTCAAGTCTTTAATCCATTTTTAGTTGATTTTTGTATACGGTGTAAGAAAGGGGTCTGATTTCGTTCTTTTGCATGTGGATACCTAGTTTTCAAACACCATTTGTTAAAGAGACGACCCATTGCGAATTCTCAACACTTTTGTTGAAGATCATTTGACCATGTTACCCAGCAGGCCATTCAGTGCCTACCATGCTTCTCATCTATTTTTATATTTATGGGTGATTGAGAACTTCTGCATTTTGAAGCCTCCTAGATGGCTGATGACACCAGGTTGAGTTTGAAATAATACTTACAAGGTGTTGTTATATTTCAGGTCTATCATATGCAAGTCACACAGTTGGTTTCACACCACCAACTTCACTGACCAGAGCTGGAATGTCTTATTACAATTCCCCGGGTCTCCATGTGCAGCATATGGGAGCATCCCACGGCATCACAGTGAGTATCCATGGGAGCGGGGGCGGGGGAGCAGTGCTTCACTCCAGATGGGGGTATCCCTCTCTGGTCCTCTAGGACACCCAGATTGATGCCCTTGGACATTCACTTTTCTTCCTCCCTCCCTCCATCAGTTCACCTTGAAAACTAGAAAGACTTCCTGACAGTTTGATACCAAATTCTGATGTTGACACTAAAATTCATCCCTGAAGCAAAATTTCAACTTCACTTTCTTTAAAAGTCGCCCTTGTGAAATGCCGTTTGAACTCTGGCCAGTGCCTGGATTGAACTCTGGCCAGCTCCTTGCCACAGCGAATTAGTGTTAGTTGCCGTAATGTCTGAAACAGTTATCGTCTGCCTCCTCACAGTTCACTGGCCCTCAGTAGTCTTCCTGAAATTAGCCTTGTTTCTCCTTTCACTCAGGATTTCTTCTCCTGAAACTAGAAGGAACCCTAAAGGCATCTGGTTCAAACCTCACTCGGGGGATTTTTTTTACACTGGTTATTTAGTGGACTAATGGAGCAGTTGGAAATGTAACGAACGGGTTTGAAAATAGGAGCGCACTGAAGGCATCTCAGTTAAGGGAATCTTTTAAAGAAGAAACCATTCTGCCTGGCCGGTGTGGCTCAGTGGTTGAGCATCGACTCATGCACCGAGATGTCGCTAGTTCGATTCCCTGTCAGGGCGCATGCCCAGGTTGTGGGCCCAATCCCCAGTGGGTGACATGCAGGAGGTGACCATTCGATGTTCTCTCTCATCGATGTTTCTCTCTCTCTCCCCTCTCCCTTCCTCTCTCTCTAAAACCAATAAAGAAAAAAATTTTTTTTTTTTTTTTAAAGAAGAAAGAAGAAACCATTCTTCAAAAGCATGTAAGATCCTTCTGAAGCTGTTTGGCTGGTTTGTTGGGCTTCATGGAAAAGCAGTGATGTTTTGTGTTGAGCTTTAGCTTTCAGGACATTGAAACTTCCTTTAGTGCTAGAAGGAACTGGGACAGATAAGGGGGGTGTGACAGTGGTGCTTTAATTTTAGGACTGTCTCACTGAAGGGGGACAAGTCCAGCAGTTTGGTCAATGCCAGATTCATGCCGCTTTTTGCTTTTTCTCAGGTGTAGGTGTAAACGCTCCCTTTTTAAAGTTTCCATTAGGAGTTTAGAAACCAACAGGGATGGTCAAGGGAATCGCTGGTTTCTTGTCTTTGATGGTCAGCATTTCACTGGCCTCAGCTCTGAGTCAGGCTGTGGTAGAAATGAGCTTTTTGTCCCTGAACTGACCTCCTGTTCCTGTCCTTTCTGCAGAGGCCTTCACCACGGAGAAGCCACAGTCCTGACAAATTCAAACGGCCCACGCCGCCTCCATCTCCCAACACACAGACCCCCGTGCAGCCGCCTCCGCCCCCACCTCCACCGCCCATGCAGCCCGCGGTCCCCTCGGCAGCCGCCACGCAGCCCGCCCCCTCGCAACATCCGGTGCACCCCTCCTCCCAGCCTTAATGCATGTGCTTAGTCTGAATCTCACGTTGGGACTCGTACAGTGGAGCCGTCTACTCAATGCCAAAGGCTTCCTTCCCTGGCATATTTGGATCTGACTTATTTGCACTGAGGTTATCTAGGCTTCACTATTAATTGTGTTGTAAGTGTTTGTCGGAAACGCAGCCAGTGTTGTGGGTTACAACACTAACCAGACGACTTTTTCCATCAGTGTTTTACTTGAATCGACACGTGCGTCCATTCCCTGCAGGCACGCCTGCTATTCGATATTGGGTAATTCAGCAGCCGTGTGCAGTTTCTCGCTTGGCCCCAGAGCTTCATTGTCCTGGCTTTTAGGTTTGTAAAATAAAAAACGGGATATCTTTTTTATATATATATTTTTTCCCCATGAATTTGCAGAAAATTACTGAGCTGTTTTTACCATCCCCCGTTATAATGGTGTTGACCAAACATACCAATAATTCAGCACTAAAATTCAGACCTTGGAAAATCTAGCTTTCAGTGTAGAAGGGAAAGTTAGATGGATCAGTGCCCAAGACAATACACTGTTTAATAGAACCTTCTACAGATACATGTTTTATAGGTTATTTTCAGTGTATATCAACATCCATGTCTCTTGTAAAACAGCCAGAAGTCATGGATCACATGGCTGTACTTCTCCCACTGACATGGGATGGATCATTATTGTATATTAAAGTGTGATTTGTTCTTTTTCCTTAATGTTAATCTACCCAACTGGCCCCCTCCAACATGAGTCCGTAAGTGTCCCCCCACCGTGGTTGCGATGGCCGATTAGAACATGCCGTTTGGTTTCTGCTGCAGACAGCAACGCGAGTATAACAGAACAGCTGTTCTCCCTTTCCGTTCTCTGTCTGTGTCCCCTGAAATAAAGTCTGAACAAATATTCGAAAGGTGCGGAATTATTAGAAGATACTATTTGAAATGAACGTTACAGGAATATCTTGGCACAAGGGCCACACAGTACTTTATTGCTTGGCAGGAAGGAGAAGAGGTTGTGAAGTAGCACATTAGTACTGATGACTGCTTATGCCTCCCAGTATAAGCAAGTGCAGTGTGTACAAAGAAGTATATTCTGAATACATTCTTTCCATTCATTTAGCACAAATTGTTGGGTTTCACTTGGAAGTGGAACACTGAGTCACCCTTTTCTTAATACTGCAACATCTTTATTTTTGCTTTTCAGCAGTTACGGTTTTGTACTTTGGTAGTAGAGTGATTTTTACCCACCTGTGTTTGCATATTTATATATGCTGTGGACGAAAATAACTTACTAGAGAATGTATATTTTATGATGAGAATGTGTATCTGTTGGATATAATCAGAGGACTGAAAGTTAATTTATCAGTAATTTTTAAGAGTCCATGTTTGTGACAGCCATCTCTAATAGCTAGCTCTTTATTCAAAAACACTCCTAACTAAAGAACCGTGACATTGTAGATATTTAATATTGTACAGTATAGAAACCTCCATTTTTGCCTTTGAATGCATATTTAAGAGTTTCAGAAAGAAAAATGTCTTGTTGGATAATAGTGTTTGACTAGCATTTTAAGAACTTGAGAGTAAAAGCAACAATAGGATTCTCACCTCTTCCTGCTTCCGCCCTCCCCCAAAATGAGAGCGTCACTCAGTTGTCTGGAAGAAATCGTACGTCTATATAAACTTTATTTATAATGTGTGTGTAATATACATAATCATAGTACCGTTCTCAAATAGGGGGAGAAGTTTGGCATATTATTATTGAGGCTTTAGATTTTTAATGTGATCAGACCGGGTCAGATGAGACCCGGGGTCTCACCCACAGCTCGCTGTCCCTCCTGGTACACTGCCGTCCCGAGGCATTCTAAGAGGAGGCAAACAAAATTTGCCTTCATGGTACAGTTCTGGGTTTTTCTTCTAGGAGAAATATGGTATATGTTTACAAGAATCTTCTACGAGATTAGAGTCTTCAGTGCTGTTGGATAGCGGCTTGCACTCAAACAAGGAAGGCCACAATGTAATGACCTCCCCTCTGCTTCCTCTCAATCTAGTTACCTCCTGAAAGCACAAAATCCAAACATGCCATATGGAGAACGACAGCCCACTTGGAGGGAGCAAACAGTTCCTGATAAATGCCTTTTAGAGACAAGGTTCTTGACATTCAGACTTCTGCCGAAATGTAGTGCTGGGTCCCCTAGAGCAGTCATGTCATTTCAAAATAAAACACAGCTTCTTCAAGCAGCACCTTTTCAATATACATCTAACTTCCCCTCCCTGCGGACATTCAGAATTGATAGAACAAACACTACTATTTTGAATTTATGCTGTTTCATGTCATTTGAAAGTGTTTTATGATGACCCACTTGGAGCTTGCCGTCCTTGGGCAGTCCCTGCTAAGGCAGACTCGGACCTGGAGCCCAGAGAGGCAACAGCCCCCTCACCCACGGGAAGCTGGCTTACCTCAGTCATTTGTCATGGGGGCTGGACATGGTTCCTGCCACTCCAGAGGGCCTTGGTAAAATCAGTAGCCACCCCGCAGGCAGGCGGGAGCAATAGTAGCTTCAGTAGTTTCATTTTCCTGTCTTGCTGACAGAGACCCTTGGCTACCACTGTGCTGCTAATAGGATAAATACTTTGTTTGCCAGATTACCATGCCTTTTACATGAAACCAAATTAACTTACCTGGTACCTGACACCTCTCTGGGCTCTGACCTGCTTTCTCGCAAAAGCATGCTGGCGTTCTAGACAGAATTCTAGAAATTTGGCAGATGGTGGAAGTATCTAAGACTTCATTTACCTTGCTCCTTTGTTGATTGAAAGGAGCTTTAAATTCTGAGCTCCTGAGCTCCTGACCACAACCATGGAATGAATGTGTGACCAGAATGTAGCTTTGACACCAAGTGCTGCTGTCCCTTTGTCATTGGCTTCTGATTTGACCAGAAATAACCGATAATGTGAATTTTTGTTACCTGTTCAATTGTAGGAAAATAGAATATGTAGCATCCTTTGTTAGGTAGACACGAACTCTTTCTGCACGAAGCTTTGCTTGTAGACAGAGCCCAGTAAGACAAGAAAGAGCATAGTGATTTGTGCTTCGAGAACTCAATATTTTTATCTTAATCAGTACAGAAGAAATATCTGTAATTTGATCTTCTGTCTAGTACTTGTCTTATAGGTAACCAACACTGAAAACTTTGTAGTGATGACTACCAAAGAAATACATAGTAAAACAGACCTTTCATTTCCAAATTATTAAAAGAGCCAGCCATTGACGCTGCTACATGAGTTCCATGCTCAAGAGCCATTGTAAGAAATTAGGGGTTTTTAGGTTTTTGTTTCTAGTTTTCCTTTCCTTTTTTTTATTTTCTTTTCTCTTTAAAAAATTTTAATATAAATCATACACAGCTGTTAGCATAAAATCATGGGGAGCATTTTTCAGCATGCTCAGCAGTGGTGGTGAACTGCCAAGCCCTGGTTGCCCCTTGTCAGGCAATTGGAGGAATCCTATGTTCATAATAGTGGGTGCTGTGTGTGCACGTGTGCGTGTGTGCATTCATGCCTTAACTCGGGTTACTGCTCAACTTCAGTTGACTTAGTCTGCACCGTCATCTAGTTTGTATTGTACATCTCGATCTGAACTTCATCCTGGCAAAAACAAAGTTGCAGGCACAACAGTTAAAGAATGCATTCCTCCGGAAGGGCATTTGATCAGGTTGACCCTGAGGCTGCATTGGACTTTATTTGGAACTGAGCATGGAAAGCAAAAGTGGACTGTCAACCAGAAAGACGTCAACAAGAACGAGAGGAGAGCCACGTGCTAGCATGTCTTTTGCCTCTGCCTATCCGTGCACACTGTATGTTCATGATAGCTTGTCTACAACTTGACTAGGTTGGAGTTCTGGTAATAGTGGCAATCTTGACATTCTTGGTCAGAGTTTAGAGAGATGTAAGACTTCCAATTAATGTCTTATTTACTTCTTTATGTTGATTAGTCTTTGATACATGTGCTGAATCAGAAACCTAAATAAAGATAATTTTTTAAAATGTACTGCTTGAGCCTTAAACCTTGTTTCTTTCTGGTCTTTGAGTTGGAAAATGAACATTGTTTCCCTCTTGCTTCTGGTAGATATCTAACCGATTCTAAATACTAAAGGCTACCTTAGAAAGTAAACAAGAGAACACAAAAGAGGCTGGTATTGTTGTTTCTTTCCTTCTTTCTCTCTCTCTCTCTCTCTCTCTCTCCCTCCCTCCCTCCCTCCCTCCCCCTTTCTCCCTCTCCCTCCTCACCAGAGGGGATGCTTAGAGAGAGGAAGGGAGAGAGAGAGAAAGAGAGAGACATTGATCAATTGCCTTCTGTGTGCCCCCTGGGACCAACCGGACCTGCACAGGACTGTGCTCAGCCAACTGAGCTACTCCAGCCCGACTTGTTCTCTTTCTTAATCAGGGTGCTGGTTACTTGGATATATTGAGTTTTTGAAATTTCATTGAGCTATATATATGCTTAGGATTTGTGCATTGTTATCTGTTACTTTTCAATTTAAAACGGTAAACTCAGGAGATTCTGAAAAAGAAAAAACACCCTAAATTCGCAAAATGTTACGTATAGTCAATTCTTAATATGTTACATATAAACAAAAACACTTATTTTCAGACTTTAGACATATTTTATGTACTAGCTTTTCTTAAAATTCCAAATCCACCTGTATGGTTTCTTCCTACTTTTAGGAAGCATGGCTTCCGAATTCTGAGTTTGAGGACTCGTTCTTCCACTGGGCCTTAGCCTCTCTGGAACTTGGCGCCTCACCTGTGAACCAAGGACGTTACATACCTTGCTAAAATGAGACAATTGAGATGAAAGCCTCTAGGACAGTCCCTCACACACAATAAGACACAGACAAGTTCCTTCCACGTCCATTCACTCAGGAAGAAACCTGGAATGAGCAACACATGGTTTCTGCACGTGTTGGCGGGAGGGGTGGATGGCAGCTCGGTTGTGTTTAGTAAACACCAGCAGTCCGAGCCACGTTCTCGGGGGGAAGCACAGTCCTTAGCAGGACCCTGTCTTAGAAACATAATCTTCAAGAACCCAGTTGTGATCCCATTTTAGGAGTTCAAACTGTCTAACCCTAGGCCCCTTTCTCTATAAACATGCTAAATGCATCTTGAGGGAGCCTTGACTCACTCTGGCTTAAGATTTCGTGTTAACTTTTAGTTACTAGAGTGAGTTTTCAATTGGGTTAGTCACGTGATGAAATGACCAAAGTCTCAAACCGCTTCTCTGCTCTTGGTAGCTAGATTTGAGTTGAAACTTGGAAAATGCTGACCAGGAAATCACCCAGGACCTCTGGAGTCGAGCCTTGTTTCTTCCGCCAGCTCTGGTTTTCTGGCCTGTGTTATGGGGATAGCCGTTCCGATTTCAGGTGGAGTTGGGAGAAAACAGGATTTACACGAAATGCTTGCACCACAAGTAGTAAGGTGTAAGGTGCGTGCCTATTTTTCCTGTTAATACCTTGTAGAAGCTGTGTCTCCTTCCACATGGTTCTCCTAAAATTCAAACGGTTTAGAAAACGTTTTGTTTTTATGTACAACTCTACATTAGTCTGAGTTCTTGTTTTTATTTATTCCTCACCCGAGGATATTTGTCTATTTATCATCAGATAGAGTGGGAGGGAGGGAGAGAGAGACAGAAAGAAACATCAATGTGATAGAGCCACAGAGACTTGTCTCCCACACAACCCGACCAGGGCCGGGGACGAACCACAACCGAGGTACGTGCCCTTGACCAGCATCGAGCCCGTGACTCATTGGTCCGTGGGCTGACGCTCTAACCACGGAGCCAAACCGGCCAGGGCTGAGTTCTTGTTTTAACATATAGGCTATTTAAGTTAAAATGTTTGGACATGCAATTCAGCCACTAATGTCTAATCCAGGCCCAAACTTTTAAACATTCTCTTTAGAAATACAGGAAGAAGTCGGTGGTCAGTTAGGTTTGGTGTCTGATGTTTATGTCGACATGAGAAATTTACTTCCTGTCCCTGGCAAGGTGCGAGAGTGTTCGGTGAAGTCCGGTGGGCCAAGGGGGTGGGATGCATTGTGCTGGGTCTGCTACAGGTGGGTGGCCTGGGCGCTAAATACCTCTCACCATCACTTATTTAGTTTGGCCTGAAGTGTTCACACACACACACACACACACACACACACACACACACACAACAATGCTTTCCCAGAGCACGGAAAATGAAACATGTTTTATTTTCCCATTTTTCCTCCCCCAGCTTTATGGAGAAATAAATGACATATAACATTGTGTAAGTGTAATGTAGACAATGTAATGATATATGCATATATTGTGAAATGATTACCATAGTAAGGTTAGTGAACACAACCATCACCTCACACAGTTACAGTTCATGAAAGTTTGAAATGCTTTTTGACTTAAAATGGAGAAGTTTGTTATTTTTAAATGTATTGGGTTGACATTGGTAAAAATGGAGATTTTAATTTTTTTATTTTTATATTAATTCTCACCCAAGGCTATTCTTTCCATTAAATTTTTTAGAGAGAGTGGAAGGGAAGGGAGGCAGAGAGAGACAGAGAAACACCAACTGGCTGCCTCCCTCACATACCCTGACCAGGGCTGGGGATTGAACCTGCAACACAAGTACGTGCCCCTGACTGGGAATAGAGTCTGTGACTCTTCGGTGCTTGGGCCAACGCTCTATCCACTGAGCCACACCGGCCAGGGTGAGATGTTTATTTTTTCAAAAATTCAGATTCTTAATTTCTCTTGAAAAATAAGATTGCAGCAGGGCTTTGCCCTTTTGAGCACAGTGGTCACTCTGCCCACCACGAAGTTGCTAGAATGTCGTTCCTACAGGCTTTCGAGAGTGTGAACCACTAGCATCAGGTGTTTGTGGGATGAGGCAGACTGACGTGGCCAGAGGTGTGTGTAGGCATGAGAAAGAAAAGGGGGAAGGAGAGAGGACTGAGAAGTGACAAACTGAAGCCCCGTTTGTAAGTTCCTAGCACAAGTCCAGCTAATAACAAGAATGACAAGAAAGTGGTATGTCAACTCCCTAAATTAGGTGAGAGTTCATTACATGAGTCTCTACTTCTGTATGTTTAATGTTTTGACAATAAAATGTTTAGAAATGGAGAGGAGAGGACCAAGGGATCTTAAAAATGGGAAAGAAAGGAGTCTTGGGGGAAGTTAGCGTTCGAGATGCCACCATTGAAAATTCTGATTTTTGCAAGAAGGCAGCAGCATTTTGTACACCTCCCTCCAGAACGAGAAACGTGGTGAGAAGTTGTTGTGAGCTGAGCATAAATGTATATGGGTTTACAAGTTGTTGACTCTGGGCAACTGGATTGGAGTGATTGATATCCTGGTCAAGTTAAACAAGAGAATGTTCTCTCCTCCTCCCCTTTTTGTCCCCACTATACATTTCCACAGGTCCGGCATGGCCGGGCTCCCCTTTGCTTGGAAAAGGCCGCATGCAGCTGTCCTGTGGGGTTCTAATTTTTTAGTTGAATGTGACTTTGCTGTCATTACGTTTTGGGTTGACCTAGTGGAACTTTGGGATCATAAGAGGGTTAGGGTGAATTCACGAGTCCCAAAGAAGGTAGATAGTATTGAGGCTTCTGAAGAAACAGTCTGTACTTAAGTATGGAGTCAGATCCCCATGAATACACCTGAGTTTTAAAATGTGATTAGGAAGAGGAAATCATTGGGCTTCATTTTACTTTGACTTTTCAATCTCTTTGTGGAAATAAGAGATTCCGTTTTTGACCCTTTTTTCTGTGGTGGTGGTTCATGACTGAAAATTAAACATTTTTTAAATAAAAAAAAAAAAAAAATAGCCCTGGCTGGTGTGGCTCAGTGGTTGAGTGTCAACCCATGCACCAAAAGGTCTCCAGTTTGATTCTCAGTCAGGGCACAGGCCCAGGTTTCGGGTTCGATCTCTGGTCGGGATGGGTATAGGAAACAACCAATCGATGTTTCTCTCTCGCATTGATGTTTCTCTCTCTCCCTCTCTCTTCCCCACTCTCTGAAATCAATAAAAACACAAAGAAAAATTTTAAACAGACACATGGGTGTGGGAAGCACATTTCTGACACTGAGCTCCATCTCTAAAGGGATCATCACATATTTAATCTTGGCTGTTAAACCAAATCAATGAAATTAAATAAATGTAGGGTGTGGAAAACCTCTAACATTCTCTGCGGTCCTCCTAACTTCTTTTTTATTTTTCTTTCAGGATTCATATAAATGTGTCTTTATTAATTTTTATAGAGGAGTGTTTTATCGTTTTGAATTATATATTTGGGAATTATATTCTTGTTTTGTTAATTGTTGTAAAGTATTACAGATGTCCCCCCTTCTCTCCCCCCCACTGACCCCTTTCTCCCCTCTCCCCCCACCCCCCTCCTGCTTTCCCCAACCTAGAGTCCATGTATATATGTACAACCAGTGGCCAGGAGACATCTGAAAAAATGCTCAACATCTCTAATCATCAGAGAGATGCAAATTAAAATGATTACGAGATATCACCTCACACCTGCCAGAATGGCTGCCATCAACAAACCCTCAAACAAGTGCTGACATGGATGTGGAGAAAGGGCGACTCTAGCACACTGCTGGTGGGAATGCAGACAGGTGCAGCCACTATGGAAAACAATATGGTGTGTCCTCAAAGAATTAAAAATTGAACTTCCATTTGACCCAGTGATCCCACGTCTAGGAATATACCCTAAGAAGCCTGAAATACCAATCGGAAAGAATATATGCACCCCGATGTTCATAGCAGCACTATTTACAATAGCAAAGGTTAGGAAACAGCCCACGTGCCCATCAGTAGATTAGTGGATTAAAAAGCTGTGGTACATATACACAATGGAATACTATGCAGCTGTAAGAAAGAAAGATCTCTTACCCTTTGAGGTGACATGGAGGGACCTGGAGAGTATTATGCTGAATGATATAAGCCAGTCAGAGAAAGACAAATATCACATGATCTCACTTATTTATGGAACATCGTGAACAAAATA